CTATAGAGCAGTGGAGAACTTCCCCTAAGGGCTTCTAAAGCTGTGATCTTTACGGGAACAGACAACCACATCTTTCTCTTGTGAAGCAGCTGGTAAGGTGGAACCACTAACTGTTTGATTGGCAGATGAACACATACCAAGTACACTACCAGGGCTTCTTGTAATATAGTTATTGTTGGGTGCCATAGAGTTGACTCCAGCTCTTAACCACTTTGTGTACAACAATCCGAAATCCTATACAAACCTGTACAATACCCACACAGCCTCTGCTGTGCTGGTGCCCATCACAGCAGTCATGGCAGGTATTCAGTAAATGTTAGTCTTCGGTAGGAGCGTTTTCTGTGTGAGTAGGTGGCCAGGGGACAAGAAAGGTTGCCATTTTTAAGATATTTTTCAAGAAACCAGGGGTGGTGCCATGGTGGCACAGTCTGCAAGGAGTTGCACTGCTAACCCAAAGAGGTCTCGCTCTCTGGTGATTGGAAGCCACCAGCGATGTTGCAGGAGAAAGAATGGTGATCTCTATCTGTGTTGTTTACAGCTTTGGAAACCCAATGGTGAGTAAGAGCCAAGTTGACTCTGACTCAATTGCAATGAGTTGGGTTTGATTTTGTTTTTTGAGTAAAGAAATGAGGCCCATGATGAGTCAGGGGCATGTGCTTTCATAGTTGGCACTGAGTGTAGAAGAGAAGTAACAACTAGAACTTGCTTGAGATTGTAGCTTTGTACTTACAAGGTAGTAATCTAAATCTCAATTTTGTTCACCTGTAAAATCAAAGTATGTAGTAAACCATCCATTTTATTTGTGGAAATTAAATGAGATGATCCTTGTAGATATTCCTAGATAAATCCACTGCCATTAAGTCATTTTCAACTGGCAGCAACTCTCCATTGGGTTCCCAAGGATGTAATTTTTTACTGGAAGAGATCTTCCATCAACTGTAGTTGTTGTTGTTGTTGTTATGTGCTATTGAGTCACCTGTGACTCAGAGCGACCCTATGTACACTAGCTCTGAAACCTGCCCTATCCTGAGCCAGTCTCATCATCTCTGGCAGACCTAATCACATTTCTCCAGTCACTGAGTCAATCCATCTCATCCAGGGTCTTCCACTCTTGCATTGTCTCTCCACTCTTCCAAGCATGTTGTCCCTTTCCAAGGATTGGTCCCTCCTTGCAACATGCCCAAAGTATGTGAGACAGAGCCTCAAAATCCTTGCCTGCAGGGAGCAGCCTGGTTTCACTCTCTCCAGGACAGAACTATTTGTACTCTTGGCAGTCCACAGTATGTTCAACACTCTTCTCCAGCATCATAACTCAAAGGCATTGATCCTTCAACTACTCATATACAAATTAAAAAAGAAGGTGCACAGAATGAAAACAAGTCCACAAGATTAAAAATATGACCTTGACTCTATCCCTCAAGAATAGATTTGAAGCATTTAACACAACTGAAGACCCGCCTAGCTGTGGGATGACATCATCCATGAAGAAAGCAAAAGGTCATTACAAAGACAAAGAAGAGAAAAGACCAAAGTGGATGTCAGAAGAGTCTCTGAAATTTGCAGTGGAACAAAAAGAAGCCACAACACAGAGAAGTAGTGCTGAAAAGAAAAGAGTTCAACAACAACAACAACAAGAGCTGAATAGAATATTTCAAAGGGCAGCTTGAGAAGGCAAGGTATTGTAATGTGCACCCAGCTGGAGGTAGAGAACCCAAAGGGAAGGACACATTTGGCATTTCTAAAGCTTCAAGAACTGAAAAAGAAATTCAAAGTTCAAGTTGAAATACTGAAGGATTCTATGAGCAAAACTGAACAATACAGGAAGCATCAAAAGAAGATTCAAGGAATACATAGTCACTGAACCAAAAAAGAATTTGTGGATCCTAAAGCATTTCAGGAAGTAGTAGATGACCAAGAAGAAGGGGGAAGTAGGCCGAGCTGCACTGAAAACATCGGCAAAAAATAAGGCCCCAGGAATTGATGGGATACCAACTGAGGTGTTTCATCAAATTGACACAGTCTTTGATGTGCCTGCTAGCTTATGCCAACAAATTTGGAAGACAGCTAATTAGCCAACTGACTAGATGAGATCTATATTTTTTCCCATTAAAAAAAAAGAAAGATGACCCAATAGAGTTCAGAATCTATTGAAAGGTATCATTAATATCACATAGAACTAAAATCTTGCTGAAGATTATTTAAAAATGGGTGGATTGGTATGTCACCAGTGAACTTTCAGAAATTCAAGCTGGATTCAGAAGCTGACATGGCACAAGGAATATCATTGCTAATAGCAGATGCATCTTTTTATTGAAAGCCAAGGATAGCAAAAAGGTGTTTACTTGTGTTTTATACAAAGGCTTTAAACTATGTGGATCATGACCAATTATGGATAACATTGAGAAAAATGAGAAACCCAGAACATTTAATTGTGTTCAAGCAAAACCTATACACAGACCAAGAAGCAGTTCTCCAAACAGAACAAAGGAGTACTGCATGGTTTAAAACCAGGAAAGGTGTGTGTCAGTATTCTATCATTTCTCCATATCAATTCAATCTGTATGTTGAAAGAATCATTTGAGAAGCTGAACTGTATACAGAGGAATGTGATATCAGGAATGGAGGAAGATTCATCAACAACCTACGTTACACAGACAACACAACCTTTCTTGCAGAAAGTGAAGAAGACCTGAAGCACTTAGTGCAAAAGATGAAAGACTATAATGTTTTCTACTGATTACATATTATATCTCAACACCAAAAAAACACAAATCTTCATCACTGGACCAAAAGGCAACATCATGATGTTGTTGTTGATTGCCTTGTAGTCGACCATGACTCATAGTGACCCTATGAACAAAAGGCCTGAAGTCTCTCTACAACTATCAACATTTATCAAAGTTCATAGAGTTTCAGGAGGCATGTTGTTTAGGAAGTGGATGCCACTCCTGCTTCCAAACCTGTCATAGTGTGTCATTGTTGTTCTATCCCATTGAGTCATCTGCAATGTATACTGACCCTGGGTACAGCAGCTCTGAACCCTTTCCTATCCTGAGCCAGTCTCATTAATTCAAACATACTAACTCCCATTGCCCTAGTCACTGTAACAGTCCATCTCATCTGGGGTCTTCCTCTCCTGTGCTGTCCATCCACTTTTCTGAGCACGATGTCCTTCTCCAAGGACCGATCAATCACTGCTGGCCATGTGCCCAAAGTAAGTGAGGCAGAGCTTCAAAATCCTAGGCTCCAAGGAGAGACTTGCTTTCACCTTCTCTAAGACAGATCTATTTGTTTTCTTGGTAGTCCATGGTATGTTCAAGACTCTTCTCCAGCACGACAACTTGAAGGCATCTATTTCTGTCATCCTTGGTCATTGTCCAACTCTCTGAAGCATAACAAGTGGTTGAGAAGACCATGACCTGGATTAGGTGCATCTTTGTATCTAGACTGACATTGTTGCTCTTCAGCACTCTGGAGAGGTCCATGACAGTAGATTTTTTTTGAATTTTAATTTTATTATTTTTGCGTGTGTGTACCATCAAATTGGATCTGACTGGTAGAGGAGGAGATTGCCCCTCCTTCTCCAGCAAAGCATCTGGTGGATTTGAACCATGTACCTCTGGTATTGCAGTGCCGCTTCTTGCCACTAGACCACCAGAGCTCCCTTGACAGCAGATTTTCACAATGCAATCCATCTTTTGATTTCCTGACTGCTGGTGTTAAGAGTGTTGATTGTGGATCCGAGCAAGCAGTAATTGCTAACAACCTCAATCTCTTCTCCATCTAATATAGTGCTTCCAATTAGCCCAGTAGATAGATAAAAATGGACATTGTCAAGATTTCACTTTTCTTGGATCCACTGTGAACACTCTTGGTAGCAGCAGTCAAGAAATCAAAAGACATGTTGCATTGAGAAAATCATCTGTGAAGAATCTCTTTAAAATGTTAAAGAGCAAGGATGTTAGTTTAGAACCTAAGGTGGTGCCTGATCCCATCCTCGGTATTTTAAATTGTTTCCTACGCATCTGAAAGCTAGACAACAAATAAGGAAAAACAAAGAGCTGATACCTTTTAAGTGGGGGGCTGGCAAAAAGATATTTACTATAACATGGATTTCCAAAAGAAAAAACAAATCTGTCTTGGAAGAAGGGTAAAATTAGAGTGCTCCTTAGAGGAAAATATGGTGAAAATGTATCTTACATACTTCACACATGTTGTCAATAGGGGCCAGTCCTTGGAAAAAGACATCATGCTAGGGAAGGAAGAGGGACAGTGAGATAGGGGAAGACCCTCAATGAGGTGGACTGACACACTGATGAACAATGGGTTTCAGCATGGCACAGATGCTGAGTACGGTGCAGGACAGGACATGATTCAAATCTGTTGTCCATGGGGTCACTATGAGTTGTAGTCAACTCGATAACACCTAACAACAACATACGATCCTTTCTCTTGGTTCTTGGTACTGAGTTTTCTGAAGGTCTATCTAAAAATACATAGGGTCTTTAGAACCTGTACCATTTACTAGTCCTGGGTTAGAGGCTGATGCAATCCTTCACCAGTGTAGGAGAATCAAGTCCAGGCATCTTGGGTACGGAGAAGAGATGCTGTGTATACAGATTAAGACCCAAAGGATCCTTCCCCCACCCATCCAAATAACACAGAAAAGGAGAATCTTAGAATTCTGATAAAGAAGAGTCCATATCTCCTCTCTGTCCCAGGTTATCTTCAGGGAGAAGTAAAGGGAGGAGATCAGCTCTTAAGGAACTGTTCTGGGGCACACAGTTGGCAGGAAGTAATTTGGTTCTCAGGTTGAGCTGGACTTGGACCAGATACTTGGTTTCCCACCTGTGCCCACTTGCCACGTACCCACAGATGGTAAAGGTGACACTCATTGCACTTGAAAGTCTTAGAAAGCCCTGCTTTCATGTCCTATGTGTTTGTGACCCATGTTGTTGTTAGGTGCTATTCAGTTGAGTGTGACTCAAAGCACCCCTATGAATAACAGATCTGAACCCTGTCCTATCCTATGCCATCCTCATATTCTGATCCAGCAAGCCTCTGACCTACAATGTTCAAGACACTTCTAGTGACTATCTCTTGACTTCATCAACATCTTATTCTATTCCAACAGTCTTCTTGATATCTTCTAAGTGCCTGACTATGGTCTAGAAAACTTCCCCCAATCTCCTGTATTCCTGACTCTACCTAGCATATTTCCTTAAGAATTCTGACTCTGATTTCTGTCCAACCCTCTCTCACCTACTTTCCATCTTCATGCTGTCCCAGAAACCAGTTATGGACTGAATTATGTTTCACCAAAATACATATTGTAAATCCTAACCAGGGAACTGCTTAGAAGCAAGGATGATGAGATTCATCTCACATACTTTTTGTATGTTACCATGGGGGATCAATCATTGGAGAATATCATGCTAGGTCAAGTGGAGGGTCAGTGAAAAAGAAGAAGACCCTCAATGAGATGTATTGACCCAGTGCTGCAACAATGAACTCAAATACAGTAGATTATGGGGATGTCACTGGGCCATGCAGTGCTTCATTCTGTTGTCCGTGGGGTCTCTATGAGTCAAAGCCGGCCTGACAGCACCTAACAATAGCAACAATCCTTAGGGTTATAACCTCATTTGGGAATGGGTCTGCCCTAGCCTGTTAAGGAGTCAGGATTAGTGTCGTGTGTATCTTGAGCCATTAGCTTCTGAAATATAAATGAGATTAAACAAGTGAGCTGAGGAGAGAGAGGGTCAGATAGAGGCCATAATCTTCAAGGAACCAGGAAACAGAAGCTGAAGAGAAGGGACTTTCCTCTAGAGTTGATGGGGAGCCAGAGCCTTCCTCTAGAGCCAGCGATGGAAATTTGGACTTTTAGCCTCCTAAACTATGAAGACAAAAAAATCTCCATTTGTTAAAGCCACCCGCTTGTGCTATTTCCATTACAGTAGCACTATAACACTTGCTGCAGAATATCAAAAATACTGTTGTTGTCGTTATGTGCCACTGAGTCACCTGTGACTCATAGCGACCCTATGTACAGCAGCTCAGAAGCCTGCCGAGGTTCAAGGACCTCCTGGCCACATGCCCAAAGTATGTGAGACAGAGCTCCAAAATCCTAGCCTCCAAGGAGGAGTTGGTTTCACCCTCTCCAAGACAGAACTGTTCATTCTCTTGGCAGTCCACGGTATATTCAATACTCTTCTCCACCACAACTCAAAGGTATCAATTCTTCTTGTCATCCTTAGTCATTGTCCAGCTCTCTGACACATACCAAGTAATTGTGAAGATCACGGCCTGGATCAGGCAAACCTACAGGTTTCAATATGGATTACATCTCAATATCTAGAAAACAAATATTCTCAGCACTGGATATATATAGGCAGCACCATCATAGAAAAAAGATCGAAATTGTTACAGATTTCATCTTACTTGGATCCATAATCAACACCTTTGGTACCAGCAGTCAGGAGAGCAAGAGATGTATTGCATTGTGTAAGTCTGCAGTCAGAGACCTAGCCAAAATACCAAGGAGCAATATCAGTTTGAAGACTAAGGTGTGCCTAATTCGGGCTATGGTCTTTTCAATCACTTGATATGCATCTGGAAGCTGGACAACAAATAAGGATGACAGAAGCAGAGTTAGTGACTTTGAATTGCTATCTTGGAGAAGAGTACTGAATATCCTGTGAACTGTCAAAAGAATAAGCTGATACATCTTAGAGAAAGTGTAGCTAGAGGGCTCCTTGAGGCAAAGATGGCAAAGCTTCATCTCACATACTTTGGCCATGTTGTTAGAAGAGGCTATTTCTTGGAGAGGGTTATCATGCTTTGAAATGTAGAGGGTTGGTGAAAGGGAGGAAGACCCTCAACCAGGTAGGAAGATACAATGACTGCTGCAATGTTGTTGTTGTTGTTGTTATGTGCCGCCAAGTTGCTTGTGACTCACAGCGACCCTATGTACAACAGCCCTAAACTCTGCTCTGTCCTGTGCTAATTGCACTGTCTCTGACACACCCATCCCGATTACCCCAATCACTGAATCAATCCACCTCATAGGGGACCTTCCCCTTCTGCACTGTCCCTCCACCCTACCAAGCATGATGTCCTTCTCCAAGGACCTGTCCCTCCTTGCAACATGTCCAAAGTATGTTAGACGGAGGCTCAGAATCCTTGCCTCCAAGGAGCAGCCTGGTTTGACCCTTTCTAGGATGAATCTGTCTGTTTTCCTAGCAGTCCATGGTACCCTCAATACTCTTCTCCAGCACCACAGCTCAAAGGCTTCAATTCTCCTTCTATCCTCCTTGGTCATTGTCCAACTCTCTGATTGCGAAGACCATGGCCTGTATCAGACGCACCTTGGTCTCCAAAGAGACACCATTGCTCTTCAGTAATTTGGAGAGGTCGCTAACAGCAGACTTTCCCATGGCAATACATCTTCTAATTTCCTGGCTGCTGGTGCCAAGAGTGTTGACTGTGGAGCCAAGCAAACTGAAGCTGTGAACAATCTCAATCTCTTCAC